AGCTCCCATGAGCAGATGCAGCCCATCTCCCCTCTCCCTGCACAGTCTCCCCACCCCCCACTCCCCCCTCCCCCACCAAGAAGCGCTTGGATATCTCCAGTGTTACGCCAGCCCCTCTCTGGGACCTCAGCACTGGCCGGCTATATATCGATCAGCCTGGGTTGAGGTGGGGGTGGGGGGCGGGGGATAAGAAGGCTTTGTGAGTCTGCACCCGCTGGCAGGCAGCACGGCCTGCACTGCTGACTTTCCCGAGCCCTTTCTGAAGCAGGCCGTGCAGCTAGCTCTCTTTTCATTCCCCACCCCCCTCCTGCTTGGCCTCCTCCCTGGCTGATTATTCTGGATCCCGCTGACACAGGTGCTTTCTCCCTGCGCCAATCGGCGAGCAGCGAGGCAAGGCACCCAGAGCAGAGGCATTGCTCACCACAGCTGGGAGCTAGAACCTAGGCTTGCTAAATCGGGATGATCAGGGTGCAGCTTAGAAAGGCTGAGACAGTCTCCAGCCTCAGGCCATACCACCCAGTGTGACCTTTGACTTTTGCCTCCGGTGAGGTCTCTCCCCCCCACTCCAACCCCCACCATGCCAGGAACTAAAGTGTCCCTCCTGGCTGCTCTCTGGCCACCTTGGTGCCTATTTCAAGAGTCGGATTGTGTCCTTCACCTTCCCCCTATACTCCATGGAGACCTGGCATGAGATGAAGTGGGGTGGGGGGATGGTGGAATACAGAAAGCAAGGATCACCACCCACCCGCCCTCCTATCCTCCTTCCCTTCCTCCCTCCCTTCCATCCTTCCATATTTATGGCATATCCACACTACTGCCTGGTTGCATAGCGGCTACATGTTCAGCTGATAACTACAAAGTAAGCAGTTCAAAACCACCAGCCACTCCTTGGGAGAAAGATGAGGCATTCTACTCCCTGTCCACCCTGTCCTGTTAGATCACCATGAGTCAGAATTGACTGGACGGCAATGAACTTGATTGGTTTCCCACAGGTGCCAAGGACAAAGCCGTGAACAAAGTAGACAGAAATCCGGCTGACATGGGGCTGACAGTCTAGCAGGGGAGGGGAACAAGAAGCAAGAAGAGGGGAAGCCTGGCATATGTGTGGTTGGGGAGAAGAGCTGGGGGGTGGAGAATGAAGCAGGGAAGGGGGTGCTTGGGCATGTTCAGGGGGTGCCTAAGGGAGATGCAGGAAGGAATCGTGGATGTCTTGAGAGGAGGTGTCACAGGCAGCAGCAACCGTCCGTGCAAAGGCCCTGAGGCACGAGGAGCCCAGTGTAACCTGAGCGGCAAACATGTCAGAGATAGTAGAAGAGATGGGGCAGGGAGGTGTGGGGAGACAGGTCATGTGAGGCCTTGAGGTCTGTGAACAGGACTGGGGCTTTTCCTGTGAGGGAGGTGGGAGGGCCCTGCAAGCCTTCAACTGTCTCATGCACGGAACTGGGATTTTTCTTTCCCGTTCCAGCTCTGTTCGTTTCAGTAAAAGCCTCCATTTCTGACCAGTAACCCCTCCTGGTTCTTCTCCCTAGGCGCTGTCAGGCAGACCCCACCACCACCAACCTCTTCCCAGTTGCCACCCCCTCCCAGACATAGATCCCAGGAGTTCCTGTCCACCACGTCCGCTGCCCCCCATCTCCCCGCATCGAATTAAGAGCAGATTATGACTCAGCAGGTCCAGAGGGGCTTGAGACTCGGCATTTATAACAGGTGCTATCTTCAGACCACATTTTGCATCTGGAGGGTACAAGGCTCGTGTTGCATGCAGATTCTTATCCAAGGCTTTGCAGCGGCCTGTGGAGGAGCCCCTGGGTGGCACACATGGTTAAGCACTGGCAGTTCAAACCCACCCAGAACAACTCAGAAGAGAGCCCTGTAGATCGACTTCCTCTCTAAAGCCTACTGTTGAAAACCCTGTAGAGCACGCATGGGGGGCGGGGGTGGGGGGTCACCATTATCAGATTGGACTCCCGGAAACTGGTGTGGGGGTCGGTAGGGTGCGGGGAGAGGGAATGGCATTTGGTAACCAGCCAGGCCTCATGGAAAAATAGAGGGAGATGGGTCCGAATGTCGGTGACCCAGAGCAAAGCTGCACGCTCTGGACGTTCAGGGCCGCTTCCCGGAACCTTCCGCGGAGCTGAAGCCGGAAAAGTCACATCGCAGCGTTCCGGGGCAGGGGGCCAGCGGCCGGCTCTGTGCGCTGCGCGCCTCCGGGCGGCCATCGGGCCAGGCCAGGCCGGCAGGGAGGGAAGGAGAGCTCGCTCGCTGCCAAGCGAGGCTTCAGGAGCTCGGCGGCGAGGAGCGGCCAGGGCGCGCTGCTCTCTGTGTACAAATATTGTCTGCTGTTTTCCGGGCGGCGGGGTGAGGCCGAGCACAACGATCGGGCAGCGCCGCCCAGCTTTGTTCTCCGCGCTCCTAATGACCATGACCGTCAGCTCCAGGCAGGAGGCCAATCAGGGGCGCGGCGGCCGGGCTGGCTGGTGTCGCTTCCCAAATTGCCGCGGGCCTCGCGGTTCGGGGCGCGCGCGGCTGGGGCGCAGCTGCTTTCCGCTGGCGGCAGAGCGGGGAGCCGGCTGCAAAGAAGACCTGGCGTTCCCGGGTAGCTTGCGCGCCCGGATTTTCCGTTTCAGCCTCCTCGGCG